GAGCAAATCTATTTTGGAGCTGGTATTCCCAGGGGATGAGCTCACCAGCGCAGCGCACAGAGCAGGGTTGGGGAAAAAAAAAAATAATACAGCCTTTTGTAATGTGTTGCAAACCTATTTACTACCAGAGAGGCTGGGTAATTAAATGCCACTTCCTGGAGCAGAATGAAGCAGCTTTATGTAATGCTGGCGCAAAGGGGTTTGCTCCCGATGCGGGGCAGCCGCTGCTCCTGCCGGCCGCTGCCACGTGTGTCGCAGGTGGGAGGATGCACTTTTGTGGGCTGCGTGCGTGCAACTGCACCACGGCATCTGCGTGTGGCCGGCTGTGAGCCGGGGCCGGCGTTCCGTGCCGTAGTGGGCAGCCTCGGTGCAGTGCACGTGCCGGGGGTGCGGGACGGCGGCGGGATGGCTTTTCCATGCAATGCTCTGTGGTGTGTGATTTACACTGGTGAGGTGGCTGCGAGCAGATAGCTGCATGGGAGGAATAAGAAAATCAGATGTCCTGGAAAACAGCTTCCACGCAGAGGAGGACAGCTCCCTGCTTGACCTGCTGTCCTGTGGGTCGTCCCCTGCTGCCTCACGCCAGGGCTGTGTCCCCATGGGCGCCCGTGACTCATGGTGCAGCCCGTTCACTCAGCTCCACGCCACACCTCCCGTCAGAAAGTCATTCCCCCGCCGGGGCGGCAGTGCCCCACGTACTGCGGCCACACCGGTACCCAGCCTCCAGGGCCAGCCAGGCTTTCTCCGGGCTGGGAAATGGTGTGGACCTGTGTGGAGCAGGGCTGACCGGTGCTGGGCTCGGTGCCCACACTTTCCCTGCCTCTGTGCATGGGCGAGGGAGTTCTTCCCCACCCACTGAGAGTCCGAGTTCATTGGAGGCTGAATGCCTTGCAGTGTCGCTGGGGAGGAGAGATGGAGGCTGCTCAGAAAAGAGTGGCAGAGATTTTTACCTGGATTATTTGAAACTTTTGTAGTTGGATTGCTCATACATGATGTACAGCTATTAATCCCCAATGCATGAGAGAAGGGCTCTAACGTGCACATCCCCTGTGCTGTGCAGCCATACCACAATCCCCACTGCAAAACTCCCTGTGCAACATGCTGGCACTGGGTGTTGGGGCTTTTTTTTTTAAAGATTAAACCAGAGATGTTGGGAAAAATATCCTGCATTCCTCCTGGCCTTCCCTGTTGCTCACAAGGAACCAGAAAACAGCAATTCCTCTTTTTACCCCTGGAGCTGCTGGGGTGGCATGGGTCTTCTCCAGCGCTGTTGTAGAAGGCAGCCAAAGCGAATGGCTCCCGCGGCCGTGGTCCAGACCCGGCTTCTATGGCTGGGGCCGGGGTGGCTCACCGAGCCGGGGGCAGGATGCGGTCCTGGGCTGGCACGTGAGCGCATGTGTTCGCACGTGAGGCTGCTGCTGCGAGGGCTGGCTGGATGCCTCGAGCACTTTGCACTGCTGATGGAGGCTGTGGCGTGCATTACCGGTTGGGACATCTCTCGGCACCGCGCTGGGAGTGATGTCCCCTCCGAGCGGGGGATACCCCATCCATCGTGGTTCGGGACCCTGTGGCTCTGTGCAGAGCCTGATGCTTTCAGCTTTCCTGTACCAGTGAAAGTTAAGCAGTGGAGGAAAAACGTTGCTGTGTGTTATAGAGGAAGAGAGGTAAAAAGGGCAGGAAATTTGCACCATGTCCATTTCCCCTTGGCCCCCAGCCGCTGCTCATTCCGGATTCGGGATTTGCGTAGGCAGAGTTAAAAATAACAGGGGTATATAAAGAAGGACGGAGAGGGCTGCACTGGCCCCGCAGCCGCCGGGGCACAGCCAGGCAGCAGGCAGAGATCAAAGCAGGATGCGTCCAGGCGGTGCAGTGGGGCTGGGAGCGCGTGCGGGGTCTGGGGGGTGCCACGGTGCCACCGTGCTGCCGCACAGGGGGTCAGGGTGCCCAGTTCTGCCGGTTCAGTAGCCTCGCTGAGCGAGCAGCTGGGCAACAGCTGTGGGAGATGGGGCCATGTACAGTCCCGTTGGCAAAAATGTCACCCCCGAGCCCTGTCCCTCCGCAGCGTTTACTCCATGGTGACATTCACCGGGAGGGACCTGACCTGGCTCCTGGCCAGAGAGTTACATGGGGAGCCTGGATGCGGCCCCCAGCCAGAGCACCCCATCCCGGGTCTGAGCTCCTTGCCAGTGCTGTCAGAGCGCTGCCTGCCTCCATGAGCCCCCGGCAGCCCTGGTCCTTGGCCGTGCATCCCGGTGCTCCCGAGGCCCAGGGCAGGCAGGGCGGACACAGCAGCTCGCTCGGCCGGTGCAAACGAATCTGCCCTCTGTGCCCTGATAACATTGTGTTTGTTGCAGAGCGGGAAGAGCCTGCCAGCACACGATAAGAGCAGATGACTTTACTCTGGACCCGCTCCGGATTGAATTATGCTTTAATTTCATTTTCGGTTCCTCTTTTCTTTTCAGGAGGGGAAGGGGACTTGGGGGGGTGCAGGCAGGTCTGGGGGCTCCTGCACCCTTCTCCAGGGGAGGACAGAGAGTAAAACTCAGCCAGATCCACTTTCTCCTCCCAGGGACGTAACCCCGGAGCATCACAGCAGGCCGGGGTGTCCTGTGTGGGTCCCCATGGCACCTCCCCACGGGGTCCCCTGCAGAGCTTTTGGGTCTTGGGTTTTGTCTCCCACTGAAGCAGAAGCTCTCTGGCCTGTGATGCCATGGCTGGTGTTGGAAGGACTCTGTGGTTCCCGTAGGAGAGGAGGCACTGGAGGTGCCCTGAAGGGGAGTCCCTGGGTTCACTTCAGGCCCCCAGCTCCAGCTGAAGGAGCACAGGGGGACACGCAGAGCAGGTGTTTTTCAGTCCCCAGTGTTTTGTGGGGTAGGGGACTCCTCTGGGTCTCCTGGGGGCACTGCCGGGCAATGTGGGCGCCAACGCTATCTCCAGCAGAGCTGCGGGGCATCGCCCCCCTGCCTGCCCATGCGTGCTGCGTGCCGTGGGGAGGGTGCCGCGGTGCTGTGGCAGTGTTGGCAGGGCTGCCGATGCTCTCGGCTTGATGGAGCCACCTCCAGCACATCACACTGGGCATGGCATGCTCCTCGGCTGCCAGATGTGCCAAGAGCAGGGATAACCATTAACCCTTTCCTCTTCAGCCATCGCCTGGGTGGACAGCCCTTCCCACCCTCTGTTTGCTCTCCTCCTGGGCCGCCGTTTGATCTCCTGGGATGCCAGCGACTTTACAGCCTGCTGTAGTGGTGAGGGAGATAATCCACGCTTCCTAAATGGGCTTCTGTCAACAGTGGGCTGTGCGCGCACTGGCTGCTCCTGCTCACCTCCCTCTTGGCTCGGAGGAGGCTCCTGCAGCCGATGGGCGGGCAAGGCTGCGGCGGGGACCCCCGTACCCACCCCACGGCTCACAGTGGGCAAACCCCTCCTGTGCCGCCCTCCCCGGCTGCCTGCACGGTCAGCGCTGGCAGCGCTTGTGTTGGTGCAGTGCCTGGCGTGGTGCCGCTCCCCTCCGTGCCGGCCCTCCCACCATAGCATCAGTAATAAGAGTTTCCTGGGGAATACCCCACATTTGCAAGAAATATTGGCTGTAGAAATGAACCTGATCTGCTGGTGACGCCTCTCTTAAAATAAGCCAGTGCTGCACGGGTGCAGATGCCAAAACTGCCTGGAAAAGGAGAAAACCAAGTGGAATTAGTGTTTGTCTCCTGTGGCATCTGCTCTCACTTATCTATAAAAGTTTGGGGCAGGAACTGCCTTGCTATTAATTATTATTTGGCCAAGAAACAAATAATGGGATTAACTGGTGACTTAAGTTACTCTGGGGGCCAGGGTAAAAGGGATTTTGAGTGATGCCCACATACTTCTCTGCCACTTTGGAGGTGACTTTCTGAGGAAGGGCTTTGCAGCCCATATATTTTGATGCTGGGTGGCATTAATAAACCCCCTCCCTTGCCGACAGCTGGGCACACGGGGCCCAGGCAGCGACCTAGTGTGTGCTCTGGAAACCAGGGCAGGGATTCTTGGTAAAAGGGGGAAGACTTGAATCGTTGTTGTTCCACTGGATTACTGAAATAATTTATTGCAATGCTCCACCCTTATAATTAAAGCGCAGTGATGAAAGCAACTGGTAGAGTAGCTTTGGATCCAGAAGTGGCGTGTGCGTGTGCGTGTGTGTGCGCGCACCTCACCTTTGGTGTTTATATTTGTTTTTTTTCAAATCGACTCCTCGCTTCTGAATAGCACAGGCAGCAGCCCCAGTTCTTAGAAAGGTATCTGGGGATGGAAAGCCCCAGAAAGCAGGGAGACAGGCTCCAGGAGATAAGGGCCATTGCTTCTTGACAAACGCAACAGTAGCAGGGCCATTCCTGGTACTGGCTGGCTGGGGGCCAAGGGGAGAAGGTCTCGCTGTGAGCCGGACAGGATGGCAGAGAGCCCGCAGGGAGGCCTGCCCAGCGCCCCGGGTCTCCGTGCCATGTCCTGACTCCCAGCATGGAGTGGGGCACCGGGGTGTCTCCTACAAGGTGGGACATCCTGGTCCCCTCACATCCCCTGCCGTGGGAAGCCCTCGGGTGGACAGCACTTTACTGGGGGCTCTGTGGGGCGGGCAGGGTCGGCCAGCCGGCCCGTGCCCCCCATGGCAGAGCAGTCGGAGGGTCAGCCGCGGCGCCGGCCCCCAGGCAGGGCAGACAAACGTCCCTCAGGGGCTGTGGGGCAAGATGAGGCGATGCAGGCAGGGTGCCAGCCCCCCGGCAGGGTCTGCCGGGCAGTTATCTCGGCTCGCACACGCACCCTGCGCGCGGCCAGATGGGAGCTGGTGCGCTCTGGGTTGCTGATTGCCTCACCGACGGCACCGGCACGGGGGGACGCGGCCTCACGGGCCCTGTTACTTGAAGCGAGTGGTATGGGGGCACGGGGGCTCAGCCACCCCGGCCCCGCTCCCCGACTGGCACAAGCACCCGTTGCGACGGCACCTTTGCTCGCTGACGTGCTCGGTGTCCGCCATGGCGAGCGCCGTGCCCGGCTCACCAGCTGGCCTGCTCTCAGCTGTAACCCCGCACCAGACCTCCCTGGCACGCTCCCGCCCGCGTTCACACAATCTGACATGCGACCCGGCCGTTGCCCCTGCCCCACTCGGGGCAGGGTGCCGGCGGACCCCCGGCTCTGTGAACTACAGCCCTGTTCCCCGCTGGCAGCGTGGGGCAAGGCCTCTGGGCTCCGCTGCCCCACTCACGTCGTGGGGACGGGCAGGAGGGATTCTGGGCTTTGCGAGTCACACCGGTCCCCCTGTCCCTTCTCCCGGCGCGGGGCAGGGCGCGGGGAC